GACAATTGTATATGAAATTTCTTGAAGCAGTTGGTGCTTTATCAAAATCTTTCGGACGAACACTCAATCCATTGAGAGCATTTGCTATTTGTTGCAAAGTAAAAACAAAAAAAGAACAATAATTTTTAGTTTTGAACAAAAAATTTTTTTTCTGCTTGAAGTAGATATGGAATCATGCTGATGTTTTATATAAATTTGTTCGAGATCGTCAAGATGGTTCTGATCTTGATTTAGATTTAGAAATTGATCAAAGTTCTAATGCAACAAAAACTAAGTTAAATAATCGTTTAAATTTAAATAATCGTGCATCACCTATTTCATCATTACAAACAACGACCTTGAATAATATTTATGAAGCACAAACATCAATGTACCAGACAGAAAGAAAAGAATTTGATTATGATTTTGTAAGTTTACTTTTGTCTTTTTTTTTTGCTTGTTTTATTTATTGATTTAATATTTAAATACAAGGCCAATTCAATTTTAAATTCTTATATTTGTGGTCAATTATCAAATGGTATTAAATTTGAAGTTGCCTTAACAATAATTGATTTATCAATTAAAGCAGGTGATAAAGTTCTTCTATTCACGTAAATAAACTTTTCTTTAACTGATATTCATATTAAATTTTATTTTATTCTTTTAGTCAAAGTTTATTATCATTAAATAAATTAGAAGAATTTCTTAGTCAACGTCAAATACCCAATACAGAACAAAAATGGCAGAAAAATCTTAATTATTATCGTAAGTCAAACATTTAAACAGATCATTATGTAGAGACATTGTGTCTGAAAGAGTTCATATGAAACTTTTGGCTTTGAAAGAAGCAACAAGCTTCACCAAGCTCTTAAAATCTCTTGTTGTTTTTTTTTTAATATTGGATAACAGTATTCAATTAATGAGTTCATTTAGCTGATATATTATTTCATGTTATTATCAGTATTTAAACGATTTCGAAACGTTTCGTGTTTATTTTAAATTAGACTCGTTTTTTTTTGCAATAAGAGCAAACAAGCGTCCTAAAATTTTTATCATAGAAAAGAATGAAAGAAGAAACCTGTGTTTGTAAAAAAAAATTAAAGCACAAACTAAATAACATGTTTATATGAACCTCTCCATTGGTGAATTGAGTCTTACACCAATTGATATTCTCTACTTTCTAGTGTTGACACGAGACTTCTAGATACTCAGTTAACCATTGAATAAGTCAAGAATGTCGATAGCTACTGGTTTTTCATTTTCAACAGTTACAAGAAAATACATTAGAACGATTTTTTTCCTTAAATAATATATATAGGATTTTGACTGTGTCATACTTTATAAATAGAGAAACTTGAGATCTATACTTCAAGAAATATTTTGAATACTTCTCTTCTCATATATAAATGCTAAGCAAATAAAATTATATATCTACACGATCGAATAATATAGAATTTTGTTGCTTTATAAGCAAGTTTTCTTTCTTGTTATCGAAATTTCATCGAAATGGCAGGTAATTTTCATACAAATGTTTAAATCTTTTGTGTAAATCATTGATTTTAAAATGAATTCATTTCATATATAATTACGGAAAAGATGTCTCCATGTTTTCCATTTCAAGACCTAAAAATTTTGAAGTTGGAAATAAACAAGAGTAAACTGGCAGACATTCGAATAGTTCAATGCGATTGTTGCAAACTATAAATCAACTTTTGCCTACTCTGATAAAAAAAATTAAAAGAACACTATGCTCTCAACTTTATAATTATCTTATTTAGGACTTGATGGTAGTACAAACGCCATTGAACGTGAAAAATTAATAAATGCATTTAATGCTTCGAATTCTAATGCAAAACTATTTTTACTGTCGACTAGGTAAAGAAAAACTTACGGTCGAATTTTCATTTATAATCTTTTTCTTTGATCAGAGCGGGTTGTCTTGGAATAAATTTAGTTAGTGCAAATCGAGTAATTGTTATGGATGTATCATGGAATCCATGTCTTGATGCTCAAGCTATATGTCGAGTTTATCGTTATGGACAAAAAAAACATTGTTATATATATCGATTAATAGCAGATTTTACAATGGAAAAACGTATCTATGATAGACAAATAGCGAAACAAGGAATGTCTAATCGTGTTGTTGATGAATTACAACCACAAAATCAATTTACTGAAAAAGAAGTTAAAAATTTAATTCATTTTGCGGTATTGAACATAATGAAGCATTATTCTTTGAACTTATTATTTTTGTCTTTAAAAAAAAAATATAGGCTGAAGAAGAATCAGCTGCACCAGATTTAATAACAAAAATTGATGAAATATCAGATGATGCTATTTTATTATCAGTAGGTAAACAGTATGCTCAATCAATAACAAAAATTCCATTTACACATGAATCTCTTTTATTGGATCAAAAAGAATATCAATTAACATCAGCTGAAAAACGTCGTGCCCAAAAAGAATATCAATACGAAAAAAAAATGAAAACATATTCGAATCGATCAAGATTTAATTCATCACGATCGTAAAGAAAAATTTAAAAGAAACTCAATAGTTTGTGTTTCTTTTTTGTTTTAGTTCATCATTTTATAATAATAATTCTCGATATTTAAATGAATATATTCAACCTTCAAATTATTCGACTTTACCGAAAATTGAATCTCAGTATCCAATATATCATAATTATCAAACTTATCAAACACCAGATCAGAAATTAGAAGAATTAAAACAAAAAGGAGTTACAGTTCAATTAGTAACGCTTCAGAGTCGTAAGTAGAAAAAAAATTGCTATCTAGATTAAGATGGAATCAAAATCGTTAGTCTTGTTCTCCTTTAAATTTCTTATTATATATTAACTCAGGTTTCTTGTGGATTTATGAGTCATACAAACGGATGTTTAACTTTTTTCTATTTAGCATTGGAAGTTCAAATGAATGGATTTGAACGTAGTATTATTCCAGCTGGTATTAAAATTCATCTTATTAAATCTCGACAAGGATCATATATTAGAACACCAGATGGAAAATTTTTCGCTATTCGTCAGTCAACTTCAGAGATTATTAATCCTAAACCAATACCAATAGCTCCTCCTCCACCTCAACCGCCACCACCGCCACCATCATCAACATCATCGTATGATTTATTAGATCAATTATTATTTGGTACAACCCTTAAAAACGTCAAAATAAATTTTTTTATATTTAAATATTTTTAGATTCTTTACTTCTTCCGTCTACTAATCCATCTTCTTCATCATTAACGAACGATTTAAATGATGAAATAGATCTTTTATTTGATGATATAAATATTACTCCACCTTCGTCTTCATCTGATTATCAAAATCTAAATTCTTGGGATAGTGATTGCTTGTGCCAAAATTATTTCGATTCAGATCTTTTTTCAAATTAATTAAATGTTTCAATATCATCAAGTAATAATAATAACAATAACAGTACAAACGATTTTCTGTCGAATCTTTTAACATTTATGTAAAGGAATTATATTTTTGTCATTAATGTCTTTTTATTTTTATTTTTTTGTATGTAATTCGTCAAAGAAATTAATTTTCTTAAATATATGTAAAGAATTTAATTTTGTTTATTTCTCACTTCAATCCATATGAACGTAAGCATATAATGTTGTTCCTTTTTCTTCTTTTGTGCAATTTTTGTCGTACTAATATTTTTCGTTTCCTCACGTTGTTCGATAAGAAAAAGAAGAAATATACGAATATGCAACACATAAGTTTGGGTTTTCTGCGAACGAAAGCAGGCCGATTAGATGAAGGGGTAAGATGGTGGTTAACAAAAATGTTGTTCACTCGATAATAAGAGACTTCTAGAGAAAAAAAGATCAAATCTGTAATTGTCTTTCTTTGTAAACTGAAGCGTTCATTTGTTTTTTGTTTTTGTTAAATTCAAACTTTTGTTTCAGACGATTGAGCGATCGAATATACTCATCTGTTGATGTCTTTAAATTTAAAATAAATTTAAAATATTCATTTTAATATAAAACCGGTAATATAACTGCAGATCATATTCTGAAATTATTTTTCTTAAATTTTATCACAAATAACTACTTAAAATTTGTGTCAGTTTAATTATGTCTACTCATCCAGAAAAAAATAGTTTCTAGTTGTTTTGATAAACTTAAAAAATCTTAAATAAGTATCCACTCAATATTATAGAACATTTTTACTTCTATCAACATAAATCAGTAGATCATTATTTTGATAAGGCTAAGTTTGGATATTATAAATAAATTTAAATCACTAATGATAGCATTCTATCAGTCAAGACAATTGAATATGATCATTAGATAAACTGATGCACAAAATATTATACTTTATAATATGCATATACAATCAACGTAAAATTTGCATATGTATGTGGTTTAAAAATATACCAGACTTTAACAGCATGATATGAATAAAAAGAAGAATCGTTATCAGTAAGCGTATCTTTTTTGTGCTCTATGCACTTTTTTACTTACAAAACAAAAGCAAAGTTCGTTTTTTTCTTTGTATCAAATAAACTATGTCAAGAATTTTTTGTAAACTCTGATCTTATTAACCTGACACTAAATAAAAATCATTAATTTAAATGTATTTATCATTCGTATTAGAAGAATGATTATAGTAACATTAATTTTTCAACAATATATGATAAATTTAGTTGAAAGTAACCAACAAATTATGATATCAAATTGAAAAAATACACAAACTAAAAAAATAAACGATCACCTCCATGTTTTATCTTAACGCTAGAAATGAAAAAGTAAAATTGTCATCTTTTTTCTTTCGTTGTCTACAATGACAACTTACTCTTGAAGTTATACCTGTGATTCATAGAAATAGCTATTTTATAAATCATGGATTGATGTACTTTTTATTTATAGATACATAGGTAAGTTTTGAATTTAATTCTTATTAAATGAAAATTCTATCCAACTGTAATATGATTATTAGTTTTAAAAATCAATGTTTTTGAACATACCTTTAACTTATCTTAAATTTTTAGATGGCAACATCATTAGCAAATCGAGTTATATCTTACTTTTTTATATTCGATTTTTACCATGTAAAAGGATCAACAGACGAAATTGATCTTCTTCAAGAATCAATTATTTATTTTTATCCACGGAAAGAAGACTTAATGAGACAAGTATTTATATAATAATCTGCGTGGAAAAAAAATTAAATGCTATAATATATATAAATATATATTTAATTTTGCTCATGATATTTTTTATAAAAAGAAAAAAAGCTAAATTTCAACTAAGATATCTAGTTTTTCTTGTTCAGAAACTTCTCGATTGTGGAGAAATTATTGGTTTAATACAATATTTCCAATATGATCTATTCTCATCTATACCAAAGGAATTTAATTTTAAAAAATCACTTGTTGTATGTCAGCATTATGGAAGACATTGTGCAGTAAATATTATTTCGGAATTTAATGAGTCATTTTGTTTCTTTCGTTTTACTTAGTTTTTAGTACTGTCTAAAGATCGATTCACTTCAGACGAAGCAAATATTCATTTTAATCATATTCTTCAATTATTCAATATGCTCTATGGCACATTCAATCATATACAATCTGTAAGAAAACCAAAAAAAAGCTTAAATCAACAACATTTTCAAATAATTATATCTATAGATTTATCCAGATATTAAACTACTCCACAAGTATCTTAAACAAACATTAACACCAATCACAGAATATATATTTAATGAAAATCGTTCAATAAAAAATCTTTTTTCAACTATTGATTATGCACCATTAAAAGAAGTAAGAAAATAAAAATTATCTCATTTTGTTTATCCTTTGTACGATTGTTATAGAATAATCGTCAATATTTATTATATATTAAACACCTTTTAAATCATTTACAATCAAAATATGAAATTAAAGATGGACTTTTTGCCTATGAAAAAAGGTTAGTTAAAATAAATTAATTTGAAAAGTTTAGTTTTTTTTTAATATCGTAGAATATTATATTCAACTTTGGATAGTGATACAACATTTTATTTACAAGTAATTCTTAGTTTAGAGCGGAATCTACCAGTGAGTAATTTTTCATTATTTTCATTCATGAATTGGTGATACATCGAAAGAATACTCTGATATAACTCAAATTGATTATAATGCTCTTCAGAATATGATTGTGAACATACTGAAAATTATTATTTTGAAATTTATCTAGTTCTATATATAATTATCAAGGAACAATTTATGATAATTTGATTCGTAGATACAGGTCCGAAATAAACTCAGTGAATTATGAATTTATAAGATATATTTGAATTGTGTGAATAGATAGATACAGATTAAGTTAAAACTGAAACACAAAATGTCTAGTCCTATTGATTCTTAAGCAAGTTTTCGAGAGAGAACATATTAACAACTAAATTATTAGCATTATAGCAACGAATCAAACCAATTTCATCTATCATAATGGAAAATTATTTTAGGCTTTTCTATTTTAAAATAATGGCTCAACTCAAGATTTTGTATAGATATCCACACACATAGAAATAGAACGGATGATGCATATTGAACGAGACTATTATTTTCTTGTTTTTCTGAAGCACTTACATATATATACTTTCAGGAAGTCATTCGATAGAGAAATTTTTCTCTACAAAGCTATTGCAAACTGTACAACTGCTACGATGGTTGAAAGAACGAAAAAAATTATGCAAATTTTCTATTTAACAACGCTTTTCTGATACAGCAAGCATCTCATCAAATTCTTGATCTATGATTCAGAATTTTAGAAGAAATTTTTGCGAGAATAATCATTATCAAGTAAAACCTGAGAAAACACTGGAAAAAAACCTTTTCTGACAAGATTAACTGTGTGTTGTTTTTTATTTTGATACGACGTAATTGTTTGCATTCTGAAACTTGGCAGTTACATCATTTTGTATAGAATTAAATCCCATATCCGGAGTAAGCTGGTAAAAAAAGTTTAATTATAATGTATTTTCGATATTATTCTGTAATATTTAATAATTAACTGAAATCCCAAAAGAGATTTTAATAGTCAATGAAGTCTTCTAATTTGATACATACTTTAGCTAGACTTCATTGATAAACTATGATGACAGAGTTTTCGAAAAAAAACAGACATGATAATTTTTAATTTCAGAAGGTTTTGTGGGAGCTAGTTTTTTAACAATGTCATTTAAAAGAGAACAAAATGATAGGTCATCGCATTATTTACGATCTCTCATTAAAAAGGTAAAAATATGACAAAAACCGAAAAAAAGGCTTTTTCATGACACTTTACTGATCATGAAAAGGTCGTAGAAAATGCAACGATGCTTTTATTCTGTTCTCTTTAAAATAATATACTAAGTAAATAGCTCCAATAAAGTGTTGCAGAACTTAAAAACTGCCGTAGGCAGTTTTTTGAAAACTTCTATCATAGTTTATCTATAAAATCTTGGCATAGAATGCATTAGATAGAAAGCTTCCTTAGCTATTAAAATCACTGTCTGAATTTGAACTAATTCCTTCACATTATAGAAATATACTCTGACATTAAAGTTTTTTTCCACCACTTTAGATTTTAGTTCCAACCTTTTTTCTAATGAACAGTAGCAACAAGGATCTTAAGCAGGTAACAGTAATAGAAAACACAAAATTCTCTATTGATTGATACTAACTGAATTACTTTTTTTTGACTGATCCTCATGAAACAAGGTTTATATAACTTGATAGATATCTGGAGAAAATCTATATTCACAGTTTACACTATTGAACAGGCATTTCTGCTTTAAATTTTGCTTCAACAGGAAAATTTTATTTGCCAAACAAATGAAACAAATTTGTAGAACAAAATATTTTCTATCGAATGACTTTCTGAAAGCATATTGGAATGGCTCAAACAACAGAATGATATTGTTTCATTTAATCTGCGTCACCAGCTAATACTAGTATCTATTTGAGAAACGTTTCGAGCTCTCGATTACGATGTTTTTATATCAATAATTTTTTTAGGCAAATGAAATATATATTCCATTAGGACCAGAAATGAAATTAAAAAATGGTGTATCACTTATTCGAATATATATTCGTCGATCATTGAGTCTTCAACCAGTTTTCAATGATATAAATGCCAAAACTAAACCAGATTGTAACCCTCAAATATCATCAAAACCTATTAATATAATTATGCCTTTATTATTCGAGAAAAATGAAACATCTTCAGTAAATTTTGATTCCAATAGTATGGGTGATTCACTATCTACTGGCATTCGAGGACAATTTAGTCCGGTTATTCAAGAATATTCATCTGATTCATTAGGAGAAACAACAAGTTTCGATGCTGATCGAACAGAAGATATTTCATCTCCTAAGAAAACTGAAATAAATAGTAATGTATCATCTGTGTATAACAAAGAATCTGCATCAATTCAACAAGTTACTATCTTTGATTTTAACATGCATTTGTTTGTCTAATATATTTCTCTTAATTTAGTTTTCAAAAGATGAATCCCATCCAATATTTTCATCTAAATCACTGAATGAGTTATTATTTGATAGTCAACAAAGAAGATATCAATATGAACGATCGTATTCTGTAGCATCTCTAAGAACAGATAAAGAATCACTAAGTTTCAATGATTCAATTGATAAAGTTACAATTGTACCCGTAGAAAAAGATGATTATGAAACTGATTGTACTCAAGAAGATATAATTTGTTTACCTCCTATGTCATCATTTTCAAATTTTCATCGAACAAGACAAAGAACTATATCAAATTCATTGGATTTCAATGATGTTGAACATAATGATAGTGATCATTATGAACGACATACTAAATGGGGAGATATACCAGAAAAAAATGATGAAACTGAACATGATGAAGTAATACTCTATGTTCAACGAAATTCACGTATGACTTTTGCAGGAATACTGGAAAAAAATTTATTATCAGAAGAATATCTTCAAAAATTGGTGAGAAAAACATCTAATTAGATTGCAAAGTCAAAGTTTTTCCAAAAAAATTTAAACTGAACTGTTAATTGAGGCATTTATTAGTTTTATTGGTATAAATTCTGCTGTCAAAATATAAAATTATTGTAAAAGACAATGTTTTGAATATAAATTTTTTATATTAAGAAAATTTCAAAATCATTTCAAAGTTTTCAGTTACTATTGCAATTCTGTGCATAAAGCTCAAGAATAAATCGATTGATTTAACGAGGGAAATGCTACAATCGATTACTTACTTTTAAGTTGAGATTAAGTGCATCACGTTAACCTTAGTAAGTTATGAGCATCTCTAAAAGATTTTGGATACATAGCTTATTACTGCCGCCATATTGTATCTTCATAGTACATTTCGACTTAACACGGTGGTTACTCTCATAAATACCAGAAAAATTGGATTTTCAAATTTTGATATGAAACTTTGAATAGAAACAAGCATTGACGAGAATAGTTTATTGTGACAATTTTAAATATTTTTTGTTATTCCTATGCCAAGATACAAACATGGTAAAAGCTTATCTCTTACATCGTTCATACATACTCTCATATTCGACGTTCTTATTTCATAACAGAAATTGATAAAGTGATTTGATACTTTCACGATTAACTATTCTCGTTAAAGCTTGTTTCTATGCAAATGTTCATGTTGAAATTCGATAATTGGTTTTACTGATGTTTCTGAGGAAAAACACGGCCTGGCATCGGAAAATACTGTAAAAATACAATATGTGGGTAGCGATAAACCTTGGGCTTAAACTCTTTTCTGAATATTCATAACCCATTAGAGTCTACATGATGCATATAGTTCCAACTCACAAGTGATTAATCACTTCGGGCACTTCACTCGTGAGACTCAATGAAGTTTTGAAAGCGCATATTCCGTTTTATAAACCACAACACTGTGTTTTTAACTTTTAAAGAAATCTTATTGAAAAATATTTTTTTAATTGCATTGGTCGGAAATAATATTACTATTATTCGGCCTTTTCAAATAAATATGAAAAAAATACTATTTACATATTCCTATTTCACTAAAATAAAAGGACACAACAAGTCCTTGCTTTCTTTTGTTTCTAATTACATTACGCTTTGATTGATAATCAAAAAGAAATTTCATTGAATAAGTAATTGATTTTTTTCTAATAGTGGTGTTTAATGGTGACCAAAATGGCAGATATGGATAGAGAAATTCAAGTTATTCCAACTGCTGGAGAAATTAGTGTAAATAAAAGTTAAAAATATTTTTAAATGAACATAATGAGATTAATTTTCTTTTAGAAACACTATAGTGATAGTAAATTTCAGTTTAATGACAATACTCGTCAAGCTCAATGTAAGAACAAAATAATATTTTATTTCCAGTTATTTGTTTTGAAAAAATCCATTTTAAGTTGAACGATTATTGGATACAAATCGTTATTACTATAAAACACCTTCTTCTGATCATGCATGTATGGCAGTTAGTGCTCGCACAAAATTGAGTCAAAATTCAGAACGAAAAATGATTGGACTTTCGTAAGATACAATGATTATTTTCTGTACTAGTCCAAATAGTTCTTTTCTCTTTCGTAAATTGCAGGAGGGGTAATACATTGATATCAGTTAACCGAATCTTACCTGATCGTGTAACTTATTTTTGTCGACGATTACAAGAGCCCCGATGAAACAATTTTTTTTTTCATGCGCATAAATGATTTGGTACATGTTGATATAACTAAGAATGCAATAAAATGTGTTTTTTGTTTTCTAGCGATTCATAGCAAAGATTTATTTTCAGATGAATAAACTAATATTTCCTAAAGCAAACGAATGATTATATAAAAAAAATATTGAAAAGAAAAAACAAACATTCATTTTCTTGTTTTTATGTATACACTCAAATTAAATTCTATTGAATGTTTTTTTTTTATGTATTTTCTATTTTTTACTTTAACATATGGACATAAATGCTCATACAAAAATTCAATGAACTATCCACATATATATTTATGTCAAGAAAAATTAAATATAACATCAATACGCATATCGTTACATACGAAATTTAATAAAAGTGAACATGAACAAAATTTCTCTTTATATTACGCATTTACATTAAGAGTAATGGATCTTACAGGTAAACATGAAGTAAATTTAAAAGATCGCTTCGAAAAACAAATAAGTGATTATGTTAAAATAAATTTAAATGAAAAAGAAAATAATACAATCAATATTCATAATTTATTACCAGGTCGCTATGAAATATGTGTGAATTTTTTAAGTAATAAAAATAAAAATTTTTATTATCGTTCATCAACTAGTTGTTTATATGTACCATGGAATACACGTGAATATGAACAAAATCAAGCAAATCTTATGCAAGTTTTACTTATTATTAGTATTATTATTTCATTAGCAACAATTGTTTTTTTTTATATATGCTGTACATCAATATTTTATACCAAAAATATGTCCAATTGTTACAGATGATATGGACGAAAAAGATGAAGTTACGAATAATACTGAACATGCTAGATTACTTGTTAATAAACATTTTGTACAGGATGTTAATCCATTTGAATCATTAGTTCGAAAACGTATTCATCAACGTTATGCTCACCGACCACCTGATACGAATGATATGTGAAAATAATGTTATCTATTTGTTTGTTTTTGTTTTTAATAAATATATATATAGACCTGCTCTCTTTCTCTTTTGTTTTAGTTTACTGTTCTTCTATTGTAATTCACATTGAGCAAACAAATAAGCATAGAATATCTTTGACATCTTCGTCAATAGGAACATTTCAATAACTCGAGCAACAAGAAAAATAGCTGTACGAATAGACTAGAAAAAAAAACATAAAACAAATAAATCTATCTAGGAAACATAGCAGCAAGAGAAATGATAATAGCAATACAATAAATGAAAAAAAATGTTCGATCAAGTACAAGTGCAACTTGTTTCCAATCATTAACAGTTTTAGCCTTTGCTTCTTTATCTTCCATACGTTTTCTTGTTGCACGTAAAAAATTTCTTATTTCTTTTAAATCAGTTTCAACAGTCATAAATGCAAGTGATGCTGTTATTTGTTGTTGAATTTGTTGTGACAAAAGATCTTCTGTTTGTTGCTCATGTTCATGTTCATGTTCATGTTCATAATCATTATTTATTTCTAATACTTCATTATGTGAATCATCATTTGTTGTTGATATACGTTTATCCCCAAATGATTTAAAGCGTTCTTTAAGTAATTCAAATTTTTCAAATTTATCACCATCGCATGTTGCTTTTATTGGTGGTACTAGACTATGAGTTACATGTTGTTCATGTGCAGTGGTATGTGGTACCATACAAAAAAATGTTGCAAGCCATTCAAGAAAAATCTTATCAAAGTAAATACAAAGAAAAAAGGTTTATTTATTTTTTTTGAAAAAGAAAAAAAAGAAATATGAAAAATACTTTTCTTAATATAATTGGCATTGGTCCATTACCACGAAAATAGATATGAACGACAATTGTACATAAAAATGTTGATGTAGCAATCATTCCCATGTTTAAACAATAATATGCACCTATAAATAAATGACATGAATTTCCATTAAAATAAAAAAGAAATAATTTTATTCGTACATAATATTTTCCTTTCGGTAAATGATTTCTTACCTATACGTGGAATGTGTTCAGCATTTGATGGCATATTTTTATATAAGAGAAGTAACAAGACAAAAAATGATGTAAAAATATTCATTCCTGTTTTGAACAAAAATAGAAAGATGGTTATTGAAATAAAAAATAAACAAGCTATTCAATTTACCAAGTACTAATTTTGATGGACTTTCAGGCTAAGAGAAAATACAAAAAATAAATAAATAATGAATTTATTTAAATAGTTAACTTACAGGTAACCAAAAAAGAATACATGTTAAACAAGATAATAATACACAGGGTAATATTAAAATATAATTATAAAAACCACCACGTCGTTCAAGATTAATATAAAATTTTAAATCAACATAAATTTCTGGACAACAATCTAACCAGAAAGAAATAAAATGATATTTGATATACTGAAACATTATCCGTACCATATTTTTCTGTATAACGTGATGCACTATTTCCAACAATAGACCATTCATTAGATTTAACATATGAATTAAGATCGAATTTTTCTATATTACGATAAAATTTTAAATTTACTTTCGAACTATCATATGTCCATGTACCAAATTTCATTGAGCAATTTTGACGATCATATGGAAAACGTCTAAAAAAAGAATAGTAAGAGTTAGTTACTAAAATAAGAATAATAAAAAAATATCAATTACCGAATATCAATTTGACATGTTGATTTAAAAATTGACATTGGTTTCCAAAACACTGTTCCATTATGATAAACAATTGCCAATACTTCTCGTTTTTCTTCAAGGCGTGTATCAGCACTGTGAAAACAAATAAGAAGAAGATTATCAACTGATTAGTTTAGTAAAGTAGATAGACAGAACTATGCGAGATTAATAATTCTCATTTCTCTTATGTATGAAATCGGATATTATGAAGACACATTTCTTCTATTTTCGTTTGCTTTAGTAAAACAAGCATGAACTGCAAATGTTTAATAATTAGTCGAACTTGTCTTTTGAAAGAATTCTAAAATATTCTTTTTCTTTTCAATAGAGAACTTACTAGTTGTACAATGTCACATCTGGTTGCCAAATACGTTTTATTGGTAAACGTATATCTGTAAGATTATCTCAAAAAGAAACAGACAATTCATGTTTATCTTTTTTTTTGATTTCTCATTCAAATTTATTTACCATAATCTTCTGGATCCCTAAAATAGAAAACAAAAAAAGAAGGATACACACACATAGAAAAAAAAACATGATTTATGATATTTACCATGTTAATGCTTCATCTTCCCATTCCTAGAAAGATAAATAATAATGATAATAAATGAATATAAATGTTATTACATACGTAAATTTGCCATTGATTTGTGATTAATACTTGATTTTTTTCATCCTAAATAATCTTAAAAGAGGTTATCACCGACTTTTTTTTCATTTTACTTACCAGGTCACTTATATGAATAAGTTGTAAACCAAAGCGGACTTCAACACCTTCACTCATATTCCTGACAGGTCGTCCCCATCTCACTTGATAATTATCAAGTAAATCACAAATCAGTCTTTGTTCAGCATTCCATCTACGTATTCGTTCTCGATTGCATTTTTGTCCAAAAGACCAATCTACTATAATAAATTATGAAAATTAAAAATCAGTATGCAAACAGGTGAAATAAAGTATCATTGATAAGTAATATATATGTCTGCTTTCTATCATCTTTTATTGGTTTATTTATAACTATGACAGACATAGAAGTATGAAGAATGAATTATTACCTGCGATAAGAATTATTAAAATTACAAACGAATAGAACATAGTTCAAATAAATATATATAACTCGTAATGCATGATGAATTATTATTATTAGTTTCAACTAATTTAAAATTTATTTGTTGACGTTAATTCTCTTCTAGTTTATGCTTGCGTTCGTCTGCGTACTTGTAATGTGTGTGTATGTGTGTTGATAGCAGTGCTTCGACTGTTGCCAGTTTTTCTATATTTTCTCATACGACGCGAGAAGAGAGAGAGAGAAGGAGGAGAGAAAAGTGTAGTTCGGAAAACGGAAAAATGCTGTTAGAGTGTGACGTACTCGCTCTCGCGAGAGCGAGCAAGAGAAGGGGGAGAAATGATAGATTCTTGTTATGCATTTCTTCAAGTGTTGTGTTCCGATTAGAGATTATCTCTCTAGTCTACTTTCTTTCGCTTGAACTACCTCACTAGAAGAGAGAACAATATGGAAACTTTAAAATGTTTGCCTGATGCACATAGACAGGGGCAAAAATGATACATGAAAAACGCATTTATATCAATATGTCTAGATAATATAAAAAGTTAAACGACAATCGAATCATAATTTTATTAGTGAAATCGACATATGTTAAAAAAGGAAAAGAGGAAAAAAAAACAAGAAGCTTCGTGAGTTTTTTTTTTCTTGTTGTTTTTTATTGCTCATTTTTTGTATTACGCATAGTGAGCATCTCTTTCAATTAACTCTTATGTTGTGTGCACACATACACTACATAGCAGACTTTTTGATTGACTGTTAGACTGAGCGACCGAGAGAAAAAAGACAAGAGAAAGCGCCATGTGTCTCATAAAGTAAGAGATGTGATTATAAGAGTTCTTTCATCATCATTACATCCGTACGTCAAGCATACTAAAAAAAACCAACAGCAAGGTATCATCTTCCAGATTGTATTACGTGATTAGATAAGAAAATGTCTATATACATCTAAACATAAATTATTTCCGTTCCATTTTTCTTATATTTTATTTATTTGTTTACTATTATTGGTAAGGATAAAGTATGAGTTGTCATAGACAAAAGGTTTCAACACTGATCCTTATAGATTGTCTCAAGGAATTAGTAAGAATAAGCCAACTAACACTATAGAAAAAATTCTTCTAACTCGAAGTTTATAATCGGATTGTATGCGTGTATTGACGTAGTTAGAATAGCATACGTCATGCAATTTAAGATTAAAAACACGCACTATAATCAATGTAAACGAACGAATGAGCATATATATATACATGTGCTATTCTCCTTGATTATTATCAACACTACTTAGTTCTGTTATTGTTACTTTTTATTTTCATCATGTCATGTTGTTTCTATATAGTCAAGTTTCGACGTGTCCTTGACTATTGCATTATGTTTTTTTTAATAACCATTCGTTAGATTAGGCTTAGGATTTTTTTTTTCAGTTGTTTTCTCTTTTTTTAATTATTATTATTTTAACGTTCATTCTTTACTACATGGAACAAGAAAAACTTGAAACTTGCTTTGTTTGTCGTCTTCCGATAATATTCATTAATAACTCGATATAAAAATATTGACAATTACATTTCTTTTTCTATTTCTTTTCTTTAATCATATGAAATCATTGATTTGACCTACTATTACTTTTACAATGAATTAGAAATTACAGATCTAATTTGAAAAAATCATTGATACTTGCAATGAATTCTAATGAACTTTACTTAATATTGATAAATTAATTGTTACAGTTGATCAAGCATGTAAAGAATATAAAATTGATAAAAGAACAATGAATCATTACATAATTGTATTGTCGATCTCGGTTGATAAAGTCAAATTTACTTATCTGTTGAGTAAATATATTCACATATTCATTCATTTAAATGAAAAATAGTTTTGATGAAAACTATATATCATTCATGATTAGTTTTCAACACTTATAAATAATCATGAAAAATCTTATTTTCCAATAGCAGAATAGCCAAAAAAAAGAAAACAATAAGTATATTTATTAAATAAAATAACATGAAATCCTGAAGGGTAAAAAATGCAAAAGGTAACCAGATAAATAAAGGCTTACACACACACACACACATAAACGAAGAAGATCGAAGATGTGTTACGTTGATGAAGACACAGCAAGCTTCTTCAAATGTTCCATAAATGTTTGTAAATTAACATCATCAGTGAGAATTGGTGCTCCAAGAGCCTAAAGACAATAAAATCAAAATTCTTTTATTTCAATTTTCAACAA